ATATATATATATATATATATATATATATATATATATATATTATAATTATAAAATAACTACAATTACAGTACTATAGTGAGAAGGAAAAAAATGTAATAATGTAACATGATAGAATCTAAATATTTTATATAATATTTTAGATGTTTATAATATTAATTTTTCAATGTATAAATTGAGTCTTTAACCAAAAATACACATAGCTGCCTTTACATGCTTTTAACAAACATAAGAAAGCATAATATAATGTTATTTTTATGGATCTTGGTAACTCTTCATTGTCTTTCAAATATCCTATGCCACAAGCCTCAAACACTTTGGAAAATACTGGTTCTTCCGCAGAGGCACTTACTGAATTGTAGCAGCCAGGTCACTTGTAAGCAAAGCTTACTGATAAAACCCTCTAAACTGGTATGTCTATGAATGTGGGTGTGCCATCCGAGACTACATTTAAAGCGATAGTTCACCCAAAAATTAATTACTCAGCGTCATGTTGTTCCAAACCCGTAAGACCTTCGTCCATCTTCGGAACACAATTTAAGATATATTTGATGAAATCCGAGAGCTCTCTGACCCTCCCATAGACAGCAAGGGTCCTACGATGATCAAGGCACAGAAAGGTAGTAAGGACATCGTTAAAATGGTTCATGTGACATCAGTGGTTCAAGCGTAATTTTACCAAGCTACGAGAAAACTTTTCATATACAAAGAAAACAAAAATAATGACTTTATTTAACAAATCTTCTCATCGTGTATCACGACACATGCATTGTTCACATGAAGAAAAAGTATGGCGCTCTCCAAAATGGTGCATAAAAAGTATTCTCGTAGCTTCATAAAATTACGGTTGAACCACTGATTTCACATGAACTACTTTAACGATGTCCTCAGTACGTTTCTGTGTGTTGACCGCGGTAGGATCCTTGCTGTCTATGGGAGGGTCAGAGAGCTCTCGGATTTCATCAAAAAAATCGTAATTTGTGTTCCGGAGATGAACGAAGGTCTTACAGGTTTGAAACGACATGAAGGTTAGTAATTAATGACTGATATATATGAAAAAATAATAAGTAATGACCAGTGGTATTTTAGTATCACTGATATACTAATACTGTTTTTATTAGGATTTTTGAAATCATTTTTTATTTTTCCATTTTCATCTTTTAAAGTATTTTTGTTTTATTTTTTATTTGTATTATTTTTATTGTTATTATTATTATTTTTTTTAAATGTCTATAGTTTTTTTATTTATGTATTTTTTCAGTTTTAGTTTTAATACTTCAACTTTAATGAAAAATATAAATGTCAACTAAACTAGGTGTAATTAAAAGCCTTTTTTCAGTTTTAATGTTTAAGTTTTTAAAATTATTTTATTACAATTGTTTATTTTATTTCAAGTTGTAGCTAATGATAATAATAACTCAGATAACGGCAAGGTAAGTTAAATGGAGTTCTTTTAACCAAAATTGAGATTTTACTCAGTAGCAGCTAATAAGCTAGTTTGGGCCCAAATGTTGGATTGTGATTACTGTTACATTTTTTTTCTTTTCCCATAAATTTCCCTTCCATTGTTGCACAGACCAAAATCATCCTGGTATGGATACACTTAATGAGACACCAACATGTACCGTAATAGTGGAAAGTGCCAGTGAAGGAAGCTTGTGTTCAACAACATCTCTACATCTCTCATGTTATTATATCATATCAGTGTAAGTGCTTACTGCGGGATGCTCCTGACTCTCGTCGGCGCTCTCCACCCAAACACCCACAGGCGCCACAGCCGGGTTCCTCTCTGCCAACACTCTCACATCTTTGGCCTTTCTCCTGCTTCCAGAGGTTACCCTTTTGTATTCTTTTAAGAGCTTCTTTTGTGTTATCGAAGAGCAAACCCTTTCTTTAGCTGTTTTTGCTTGATTCATTTTCGCGTAAAACCTGGTAGATATGAATGGGTAACTTAACGTATAACTATCATTTATGGCATTTTTGGGAGTCACTGAAGTTCAGACCTTATTACCAAGCAAGACACCGATCCTTCGCTTCGAGCAAAAACAAAACTTCAGTACAGCGGTTCATAATATTGTTACTGTCCTCACAAATAGCGTTGATATTTCCATTGCTGTAACTGTCAGCTCCGTTGTCAATGACGCTAACAGAATCACAACATTTAGACACGCCCATTTATGGTTCTATTGGCTACAGCGTGTAAAGGTAAGCTCTTATTCGTCGAAAGTAACGCCATTCAAAACTTGTAGCGATTAGGTCACGCCCGATGTGCTCCTAAATGAAAGTTCGATGGGAAAAAGAAAAACCTGCTCGTTTTAGTTCCACAGTGACCACAATTAAATATGGTGGTTTTACACAGAATTCCATATCCTTCAGATTCTTATAAATCTGATTTATATTGTGTATCAGTTTTAAACGGGGCTGTGTTACTATTATTATTATAAAAAATAACTTGAAACGTCGTGTTATCATTTTAAATGGCCACTGTTGTTAACACTGTAATGTTCCTGCTTATGGAAGCTCGTTTCCATCAAGGAATAAAATAAAAAAACGAAAACGTCTCATAATTGGGACTTTTTTTGCGAGGTTATAACGAATGAGATTTAAACTCCGAATTGTGAGGCAAACAAACAAACAAACAAACAAACTCCCGAGTTGTAAGATAAAAAGCCGCAATTACCTTTTTTTTTAATTTTATTAATTTTATTTAAAATTATTTTTTTTACTCTTCCATGCCTACTTATGCTAGTATTTCAATTTTTTTGTTCATGCTTGAAACAGTTTTAGAGGCATTGCTTTTCCACAGGGTAATCTATTAGCATTCCCTGTACTTATTTGGGTTTCTGTCTCCAACTTATACATTTATGCATGGGTATGAATCAACACAAGAACAGCCTGCTCCCTTTACAATGCCTGTTCTCAACGGCCGTGCCCTTGCATAACAAGGAGCCTACTGTGTCCTTTGTGTGAATCAGCATGCACATTGTCTCTCCCTTTTCAGGAACAGTATGAACTTCAGTGAGAAAGATTACATAATGCTCAGATTATGTGCAGAAGAAACACTGGACAAAATAACAACAAATGTGTGAAAGATTGCACTCAGGTCTTTCTCAATCTTCTATTTAACATCTTTATTACAGATCAACTCTACTTGTCATTTACATTCACCAAAATAAAAACAGGAAATGGAGAAACTAGAAAAGGGAAGACAAACATTCACTGTTGGCTTGACAAAGTCTCTTGAAGTGTACAACAGGGTTGTTTCATATCAAATTTGGGGCAAATATGGACTAATGGTTAATGGTTAATAAAAAATAAATAAAAATGAATCCAAAACTTGGGTCAATCCATATTTGAAACAACCCAGCCATTTTTAGACTGTAGTTTGAATACATGGGTAGTTCAAACACATATAGACCTAGTTAGGTGGTTGCTAGGGTGTTGCTAGAGCACTGCTTGTGGGTTTTGCCTGGTTGCTAGAGCATTGCTATGGTGTTATGGTGTTCTGGGTGCTAAGTTATTTGAACAGTTTCTAGGGCAGGCCTTTAAAAAAAATGTAAATGTACTGACATATAGAGTCAATAATAGAAACTCCATATGGTAACATACAGTATATATATATATATATATATATATATATATATATATATATATATATATATATATATATATATAT